TACTAACGCACTTCTTCGAAGTTTTCACCCACAGAATGACAACGGGAAAGTTTCCTTCAGATTAATTTTCATAAAATAAGTTCGGAACTCTCCAGTTTTATGTCCACGCTGTACAGAATGGCAACCGATAAAGTCCAAGTCGTTTTCATCTTCAAATTGAAGCAATTTCTAATTTTCGGGGCGGCAAAATGTGACGTACATTCTGAATCTAGTTTGGAAATAGTTGATGGTGAAGAATATTGCTAGCGAATAGCTGACGAATAGCTAATGAATGAAAAAAATAGAAGAAGTGAAACTGGTAAACAAAAACATATACAGTGTGTCCCACTTACCATGCTCACCATGGGTATCTTTTTAACGGTGAGAGATACGAGGTCGGTTAAATGACACCAAATGTGGAGTTTGTCAAGGCCAACTATAATGTGAAAAAATATTTTGATAAAATCTATTCGTTTTTGTTTTATCCGCAAAAAACAGATTTTGGCCATTTTCATGTCTCCTCCGTAACTTCTTTATTTATGAAAATATTCGAATAGGAATTTCACATTCTCATGGCAGTTTTTCAAGGTGATTTCGAAAAAAATATGAAATTTATACCAACTCTTCTTGAATTTGAGATATCAGCACCAACTTTAGTTTTTCAAATGTAGGTCATAGCTCACTATGACTTAGTTACAAATAACTTTTTTTCTGTGACGGGAAAACAGTTTGGCATTTCATCTCTGTTGGCAGGTTATAAAATGTCACTTTTCATAAATTACTTTTTTCTCGTGGGTAAAAAGTGAGTACTTTTTTCCCGGATTTATATCACATATATATACTCTGTTAATGGCTTTTGTTGTGCTATAGTTCCGAAAAATGAGTCAATAATACCGTCTCCGAGTAAGAACTGCAAGTCCTTTTATCTTCCATTAGACTTCGCGGTTTCGTATATTACTAAACAACAACTGAATTCACAATTTTTTAAAATCAAATCACAGAATTGAACTGACAGAAGTGACATCAGATATTTGATTACTTCAAAAGAATGATAAAGATGTCTATAAAACGCAGGTGTTCCTACTGTTAAAAACTTATTTCACGTCGATGATTTTCAGATTTCGAAATAATGTAATATCTTCTCAATATTGATTCGTCCTTCCTTCTGTCACAGAAAAAAATAGTGTATTATACACGGGAAAAATATTAGATTTTAGCTCACGGTTTTTTGTCTCCCTCCGCTACGCGTCGGGAGACAACACAACCTGGAGCTAAAACCTACTACTTTTTTCCCTTGTATAATAAATAACTATTTTTTCTCTTATAGATGATATGTCGCAGTGATAGTTTTGTGTTGATAACAACGCAGTCATCGTCATTTATACAAAAACAATTTATAAATTTTAACAAAAAAATCATGATCTCCGACCTCAATAACCCCCACTTACCAATTTCGAATGGAATCGGACCAAATCTTGTCCGCCATCTTGAAGCAGCCATTTTTTAAATTTAAACAAAAATTCCATAATGTTGCAAGTGAATTTTGACTCACTTCTGGCCGTCCTATCAACTTGAAATTTGGCAGATGTTCGTAAATCCGGTGACAATACATTATGGAATTTTTGTTGAAATTAAACAAAATGGCTGCTCCAAGATGGCGGACAAGATTTGGTCCAATTCCATTCAGAATTGGTAAGTGGGGGTTTTTGAGGTCGGAAATCATGATTTTTTTTGTTATAATTTATAAATTCAAGATGGCGGCTTTCAAATAATTTATGTTTTTGTATAAATGACGATAACTCCGTTGTTATCAACACAAAACTATTACTGCGACATATCATCTGTAAGAGAAAAAAAATTATTTGTAACTAAGTCATAGTCAGCTATGACCTACATTTTAAAAACTAAAGTTGGTGCTGATATCTCAAATTCTAGAAGAGTTGGTATAAATTTTATATTTTTTTCGAAATCACTTCGAAAAACTGCCATGAGAATGTGAAATTCCTATTTGAATATTTTCATAAATAAAGAAGTTACGGAGGAGACATGAAAATGATCAAAATCTGTTTTTTGCGTATGAAAAAACGAATAGATTATTTCAAAATATTTTTTCACATTATAGTTGGCCTTGACAAACTCCACATTTGGTGTCATTTAACCGACCTCGTATCTCTCACCGTTAAAAAGATACCCATGGTGAGCATGGTAAATGGGACACACTGTATAACCACAAATGCACTCGGAAGTCGACACCCATGGCTCCTTCCTCTTGTTGTGCCTGTCAGTATTCTGAGTGGTGTGGACGGACTCGAAGTATTAGGCGCTGTTGCAAGATATAATCTGCAACTTTCTTAGGAAATAGATCCGTTTTATTAAGGAACGAATTCATTAACAAAAAAATGACTGACAAGTTATGAATAACATATTGTAATATAACGATAGTGAAAAATTATAGATACTATCGCAAAATACCATAATTTATCTTTATTTCTTAACTACTTCATTCAGCCAATGAAAGATTTATGAGAATTATTCATAATACTTGACAAAGTAAAATTGAAGAACTGTTATGAAATAGTTATTATGCATTCAAGGAACAATTTCCGAAAATTTAGACATATTGATGATGTCGGCAACGTCGTACTGGCACAGGAAATCGTATTTTAACTCTGTGTGAATGTGAATTTTCAGAAAGTACGTCATAGGAATGGTGGAGGAACCAAGTTCCTCTTTTATTTATTTTTTTTCTGATGAGAAATTTGATTTTGCGAAAAAAATAAAAACTACGTATACAGTCTGTCCAAGATAAGGTTGAACAGCAGGGGATCTCGAAAACGGTAGGAGATACGAAGTCGGTTAAATGGGGAAAAAGTTGCGCATTCGGAGGCTCATGTCAAGAGCCTTCGAAAATTTTTAAAATTATTTTTAGTTTTTCAGTTTTATCAAAAAAAAGTGAATTTTCGTAATATCTATTTCATTTTTTTCTCCGTTATCATTCGAGATACAGAAAAACTGAAAATACTTTTCTGATGATGACGTTTAACGTGGTTATACCGATTTTTTTATGCAACGTTTCGTATCCGTAGAACCATCATCAACTTTTGTTTTTTAAATACGGTTCTGATAATTTTTTCATAGATTCTCAAAGATTTTTTTATTCTGAATTCAACCATGTATTAAACAAGGTGATTTGAATGTGTTTCGACCTATTTCTATCCATCATCAATGTTTTTTCTAACTTCCAAAGGAAAAGTGCCATCATTTCCATTAATTTCTGATCATTTAGTGTCAAACATTGATGGATTAGTTATTGAATACTGAAAAGTGAATAAAAAATATTTCACTACATCATTCAATGCAGCGCTTGAAATTGTTGATGAATTCTTACACGCATTACTTTAACAACTCAACTTTGACAATACCTACAGAAACATTCATAACAAATGTTCAAAATGATAACCATTATTTTCTGAACAAAGATATCCTCTTCTCACATCAGTTGCTTATTGAATGCTTCGATGACACTGTCCCTCAGTTCTTTTTCATCATCAAAGCTATTTGTGTGTACAAGGTTTTTGATATATCCCCTAAAAAAAATCCAGCTGTGTCAAATCACGTGACCGCGTCGGCCAAGGGACTGCAGAATGAGTACCAATCCATTTTTCTGTATTTTCTGGATAAAAACGCACGAACTCCTCTGGAATTATGTACCGGAGCGCCATCTTGTTGAAACCAACAGTTCTGAACTTCCGCAATCGGTAAATCATCCAGAGCTTCCTCAAGATGATTCTCAAGCAAATTTGTATAACGTTAGGAAGTCTGTGTTTCATGGTAAATAATAGGACTAATAATTCGTGTAGATACCAAATATTGCAACCCACATATAAAAGCCGAAACGGTGTTGGTGTCTCGCTGTAATGTATAAATGTTCATTCTCTCGTGAACAATAATGTGTATTTTTTCTATCGAAGATACCATGATTAGTGACCATGCTTTGATCAGTCCAGATGATTGTTCGGGAAATTTGCGAAATTTTGACATTTCTTGATATACCACTCACAGAATGTCCTGCGCCTTTCGTCATCGCCTGGTTTTAGCGCTTGACATATTTTGAATTTGTATGGATGGAATTTTGTTTCCGCAAAATGAAATAGGTTGTTGATTGGAACCAGTTGATGAGGTATTAGTGTGTTGACTAATTTTCCTTCAAAATAAGTGGAACTGATGGCATTTTTCCTTTGGAATTTCGAAAAAACATTGATGATGGTTAAAAATAGGTCGAAACACACATAAACCACCTTGTATAATACATGGTTGAATTCAGAATAAAAAACCTTTCAGAATCTGTGAAAAAATTATCAGGTCCGTATTTAAAAAACAAAAGTTGATGATGGTTCTACGGATACGAAACGTCGTATAGAAAAATTGTTATCACCACGTTAAGCGTCATCAAAAGTTGCTATGAAAAAGTATTTTCAGTTTTTCTGTATCTCTGATAATAACGGAGAAAAAAAATAAAATAGATATTCCAAAAATTCACCTTTTTCGATATAACTAGAAAACTAAAAATAATTTTAAAAATTTTCGAAGGCTCTTGATATGAGCCTCCGAATGCGCAACTTTTTCCCCATTCAACCGACTTCGTATCACCTACCGTTTTCGAGATCCCCATGCTGTTCAACCTTATCTTGGACAGACATATTGATTTTTTACAACCTTCACAATGAGATTCAGATTCAGATGTCTTCGTTTTTTGTCCAGCTTTCGAAAATATTTATTATCTTTATCGAAAGCTCGAAAAAAAATGAAGAAATCTAACTAATATTGGTCACGAAAACGTTCCCATATTAAAATAAAAAAGGAAATTGCAAAAAGTACTGCTTATGGAGGTCGTTCGAGCATCAAATACAAACCTTTCAACGAAACCTGTACACTTGTGTGTTGTTGATTTTTTTTTGTGACATTTAATTGATGAGTTCAAGGGCTTGATGGTACTGGGCGTGTGTTTGTTTTCTGGGTAGGGTTGGAGATTGTACCCAACGGAATAACACTTCTGACTGACTACTCGGGGCGCAGTTCTGGGGAGGCGTACGTTCAGTTTGTTAACAGAGAGGTGGCAGAGAAAGCTCTGCAAAAACATCGAGAAAAGATCGGACACAGGTGGGGTATATTATGCGATGTATTTTCGAGGCGGGTGGGATCGGGTGAGGTCGACCCCCATTATTTTTCTTCTTTCTAATTTTTTTTTATTCTTTTGATATGGTAATTATGGTATACGAAGGAGTGCACGAGGAACGGTCGGTGCTGTAACTTTTGAATCATTCGAAATTCGGTGGGTAATAGTGTATTACGAAACGAGTGTTGTAAAAAGCGTATTGCGCTCGAAATGAAATTTTTCGTGGTGGCAAATTGACGTACATTTTGAATCTAGTCTGAATATAGCTGATGATGAAGAATATAGCTATCGAATAACTAACGAGTATAAACCGAATAAACAAAATAGAAGACGAAGAAGACAGCTTGGCGTCGTTGTTGATTATATCATGAAAAACAATGATAATCAACCAACTTACGGAACAACTATAAACTGTAGACATTGGCTAACGAATAACTGGAAGATCTAAAATCGGCAAAAGTAAAACTGGTAATAGTTTATTACGTAATATGTGTTGTAATAGTAGAAGATCCGAACCTAAATCGACCTTCACCGAGCTGATAATAGAACGAAATATATTTTATCATGAATTTAGTATATTAGAAAACATATTAAAAATGGGTTCGCTAAAAAAATCCTGGGCAGACTATTTTTAATTATTTTTCGAAAAATGATTTTTAATTAAATGTTGCAACATCAGGATAATAAAAAAATTTTGTCCTGACGAAAGTATAAAACGTATAGAATGTGCAGCCTATTTACCTGGACGAACTACTGGGTTGTCAGGTAAACACAGGTATATCGATGCCAGTTACTTTCACTGGATTGGATAATTAAAAAAAATGTATATCATCATAAGCGCTGTTTAATTGCGAAAACGTTGATATAGGGTTGTCTGCGAAAATTCCGGTCCTATTAGGGGTTTGCGAATTTTAAAGATTTTAATTTCAACGCGCGTGGAAGTGTGTGACAGAGAGATCCGAGGTAAGTATACTGTGTAATAATAAAGGACCCAACATCGCAGTCGCTTGTGATGGGACCCTGAATAGTAGAAAGTGTGCGAAGTGTGCGAAGTCAAGTCCTGAAAACTATGGTTGGCATTTTGATGATTTCTTAAAACCAACAGGTTTTATCGGAGATCGAACTCCTTTGAAAATCTAGGACATTGTCGAAATGGAAGCAAATGAGGAAGGATCTAATGAATCAGACGAATTCGAGAGTCAAAATGATACTTCTGATGAATCAGATATTGAATAGAAAATATTTATTAGAATTTATTTTTCATTAATATTATTTTTGTATTTATACTGTTTTTCAATAAAATTTTTAATCGTAATACAAGATGTCTAGTCTATCTTTTTTGTTATTTCTCAATGTTTCTATTTCCAGAAAGAGCAAAAAAATTTCAAAGTAAGTAATTGATATTTTTATTGTCTATTATAGATTATAGATATATTATTATGGTTATAACGCAATATATTGATATTATATCGTTTTTATATATTAGTATTATATTAAATATATTTAATTATTATGTAATAAAATTTTTTTTTTTTGCTACTGAAATATCAGTTGCTCCAAAATAACACGCACTGTTTACTATATGGAGGGTAGTAGAGGTACCTCTACCCTCCATAGTTTACACACCGAGCATGCGCACTTTCTACTATTCAGGGTCCCATCAAGCGACTGCGATGTTGGGTCCTTTATTATTACACAGTATACTTACCTCGGATCTCTCTGTCACACACTTCCACGCGCGTTGAAATTAAAATCTTTAAAATTCGCAAACCCCTAATAGGACCGGAATTTTCGCAGACAACCCTATATCAACGTTTTCGCAATTAAACAGCGCTTATGATGATATACATTTTTTTTAATTATCCAATCCAGTGAAAGTAACTGGCATCGATATACCTGTGTTTACCTGACAACCCAGTAGTTCGCCCAGGTAAATAGTAGACAACCCAACGGCTGCACATTCTATACGTTTTATACTTTCAGTCAGGACAAATTTTTTTTATTATCCTGATGTTGCAACATTTAATTAAAAATCATTTTTCGAAAAATAATTAAAAATAGTCTGCCCAGGATTTTTTTAGCGAACCCATTTTTAATATGTTTTCTAATATACTAAATTCATGATAAAATATATTTCGTTCTATTATCAGCTCGGTGAAGGTCGGTTTAGGTTCGGATCTTAGACTATAAGAAGCTGAGCGGCGAGTGCGCAATTCCATGAGTGCGTAATTGCTTTACAACTCGCATTACGTACTATACTTTACCTACTGTCGGTACGGTTCCGCTGAGCCTCAGCTGGACAGCTGTTTGGTACACCGATGGTTCGAAAATGGAAGAAGGGGTAGGCGCGGGTGTATATGGACCCGGATGTAGGCAATTTGAAGCCTTAGGTCGCTCCCCCACTATCTTCCATGCTGAAATACATGCCATCAACCTTTGCGCCCAAAGGTGCCTGAGCAAAGGTCTGAGGGGTGCCAACATATATATCTGCTCAGACAGCCAGGCCGCACTAAAAGCCCTAAAATCATTCTTTTTCACATCAAAGATTACATGGGACTGCTTTGAAACACTCATGCGACTGGGAAAGGGCAACAAAGTCACACTTATGTGGGTTCCAGGGCATGAAGGAATCAAAGGAAATGAGGCAGCTGATCGCCTTGCAAAAAATGGTGCAGCATCTGCACTTTTTGGTCCTGAGCCTTTTTGTGGGATAAGCAAATGTCACCTAAAGGGAGAACTCAGGAAATGGGAAGAAAATGAAAAGTCCTTCTACTAGAGAGCAACTCCAGGTCAACGACAAGCGAAAAGGTTCATCAACCATTCGCAGAACCGAGCCAAAATGCTACTCAGTCTCAGCAAACCAGAGCTGAAGCTTATCACAGGCTTTCTCACAGGACACGGCCCTCTGAGGTACAACCTCAAAAAGATGGGTCTAGCGGAGACTGACACTTGCCGCTTTTGTAACAATGCGACCGAAACCGCCGAACACATACTTTGGTCATGTGAAGTATTAGTCCGCCAAAGGCTGAACCACCTAGAACAGGTCTATCTCACCCCTGCTGAAGTGGAAAAGTCAACCGTCAGGAAAATCGTAGGCTTCATCAGAAGTCTAGAGTTAGAGGACCAAAACTAGATAGGGGTAATCACAATAGATCTTCTACATCTACAATCTGCAACCTACAATCTTACCTACTGTCATATATACATCAACAAAGTTTGGACAAACAGTCTGAATTATAATTCTTGACAGTTGTGTCTGTGCGATGTGCTAATCTGCAACTTTCCTAGAAAGTAGACCCGTTTTATAAAGGAACGCATTCATTTGAAAAAAACTTATTAACAAGTTATGATTATTTGGGATTTTCTCTCCTCGTTTCTATTAAATAAAAATATGCGTATTATTTCAATATATTTGTAGTAGGACAAATCAGATGATTTGCCCCAAAATGTCACTGCGTTTAGCAAATTTTTCTATCAGGGAGCTTCAAAGAAAAATCCAGTAGCTTGTCAGTGACAATTTGTTTGAAGGAAAGGAATATAGATATATTGGAAAAAAATCTAATTTTTACTTATCTTTAGAGCAGATTCGGTCCCGAAACGTCCAAAGATAAGTAAAAATTCGATATTTTTTCAATATATCTATATTTCTTTCCTTCAAACATTTTTTCAAACAAATTGTCACTGACAAGCAACTGGATTTTTCTTTAAGGCTCCCTGATAAAACAATTTGTTCAACGCAGTAACATTTTGGGGCAAATCATCTGAAAATATATTGAAATAATACGCATATTTTTATTGTATAGAAACGAGGAGAGAAAATCCCAAAAAATCAAGTATAATGAAAAAAATACTTGATGCTTTAAAATTCACATTTCCATTTAGTTTCGTTTTATTAGAGTTAATCGTCAGTTTGTTGAGAAATTATCCGCAATGTAAGTTGACTAAATTTCACAAACTTATTCACTAGGTGAATTTTTTTGGACGTCAAAATTAAAAATGACCCTTTTCTCGAAAACGGTTCGTTGTACTGCATTCATAAGAATAACTCTTTTATGTAAAAGTGATTAAAAATCATTCGGCTAGTAGAAATGAGATAATTCTTGAAACAAAAAACTGATGCATTTTTATAGCTTCGGTGACGAGTTTCGCACCTCCCTGTATATCGAATCATGTTTTCTGTACTACGAAACGACTTGTAAAATCTAATCACCTTCGGGAACCAAATTTCGTGATTATGGGATCAATGGTAACAAAGATAATTGAAGAAAACCTTCAAAGGGCTCTAAAATAATAATAATAATAATAAACTTTATTTTCCTTTCGATAGTTACAAAAACCATATAGGAATAGTCAAGAGAACAAAACAGTGAAATATTATTGCATCCTTGAGTTGAATAATCTTTAAGGGAGTAGTAACATGATAATGTCAAGAATTCATTGAGTTGGCTTTTGAAACAGTTAATCTTCACGATATTCTTCAAATTATTGGGTAGTCTATTGAAAAGCTTTATTGCTATAAAATTTGGTGAAATTGAATTTTGCAAAGGGTACATAATAATTATTTTTCTGCCTAGTATGATAATTATGAAGGTCACTATTTGAATTGAGCTTTTCCTTATTCCTAAAAACAAACATACACATTTCAAATATATAAATACCAGTGACAGTTAGGATTTTGCATTCCTTGAAAATCTGTCTACAATCCAGTCTCCTGGACATATTAAACATACATCGTAATATCCTCCTTTGTGCTACCAACACGTCGGTCACTGCTACTGTATTACCCCACAAACAAACTACATATCTCAGTCGAGAGTCTACTTGAGCAAAGTAAAAGTTGAAAAGTTGTTGTTTATTCAATAGGAATCTTATATATCTCAATAGAAATGTAAGAGAAGATAATTTTGAGACAAGATTTGAGCATTGAGATCTCCAGTTGAGACATTCATCCATAGAGACACCTAAAAATGTGACAGTTTTCTTT